ACCCATCACTCAGGCCACAACTCCATAATCACGTCACGGCCACCACGAGGACCGCTGCAATACCTTAGTGACTAGTGTCCCATACCACTAATCCTGCAATCCAGGTAGAGCCACACATGCACCACAACTCACACGAGTCAAACAATGGATCACAACGAAGGTATGAAACATACTCAATCAAGGAATGGGTCACCACCCAACGACAACAACGATGTATAACGCAAGTTAACATCAACCAAACGGAAGGTACGAACAACACACACGCTAGCATTAAGACAATAAAGTAGCATGCTTAACAACGGGGAAACTCAAGATAGTTCCGAGGAACACACAAGACACCTCTTGGTTCAACGAAGCACAATGTTAAACACTTGGCACGATTCAAGACACCAAATTCCAACATGGTTACCTACCATATAGTTCTAGACCTACGAAACATCAAGAAGACGCTCAAATAGTTCCACAAAAGAACATTGGGAAGTCAAAAGACCAAATACCGAGTCACACAAATCACAGGGAACAAATCCCGAACGAAGACCAACGTGTTCCCCGCGGGTGGACCCATGGGTAGGCTCCCACCCGTGGTTCTGCCCGCGGGTACACTACCCACAAGCCTTTGTACCGGCGGGTGGAGCTCGACCCGTCGTTCCGCCCGCGGGTACATACTCCTGGGCAAAATAATCCCTTCGGGGATTTCCTCCTCCAAACACAAATTCAAGTCCAAAACATGCCAAATCTCACCCAATACAACAAAATGACTTGAATCATGGAAAATGCCAAGCAATGGCAGAAAGGAACCCTAAACACAAGCTCTAGATATGCAATATCACAAGATAAATGCATAAACCCTCACATTTCATAGCAAAGAACAAGTAGAATCCAAGAAATCACATATAGGTAAGCAAAATAGGTTTTGTAGAGCATGAGTTACCTCTTGAAGACCAAAGACTTCACTTTACACCACAACAAGCTCTTCACAAGGCTCACTATCCAAACCCACTTCAAGATCAAACCAAAAGATCATAAAGATCCTACCTTTAAGAAAAAGACAACTAAGATGGAACCAAAAACACAAGATAAACTTAGATCTTACCCTCCTAGATGCCCTAGTAGGTGAATGGTTGAATCTTGGAAGCAAATCTTGGAATCTTGACAAGGGTCTCAACTTGGCTTGAAGAATAAGCTACTCTTCTTTTCCAAAGAGAAGGTAGAACTATTTTCTAGGAATTGTAGAGAATGAAATGAAGAAGTCTTCTAGGTTAGGTTACAATACTAACTTTGGGTGAAAAGACAAGAATACCCTTACTAACCCTTAGAAAGTGTAAGGAACAAGGGAACTCTCCTCAAAGCACAAGGTACAACACAACTTAAAGATTGACTAGTCAAATACTAGTCCTTGAGTATTAAAAATCAGGATTTTAGGAATCAATTCCTCAAAAGATATAGAATTAATTACTCAATTAATTCATGGATTGAAATGTGGATTTTTGGGGTGTCACAGTTTGGAAAGAGGAGCTCGCAATGCTCCTCTTACAAACATAATGTCTTGCTTATCAATGTGGGCAAGTATTTAGAAGTCCAAAGTCTTTTTTTTTTTTTTTTTTTTTTTTTTTTTGTTGAGAAGTAAAAGGAAAATTTAAAATGGAAAGTAAATATTTCAATAATAATGTTTTACATCATCAAATAATAAAGACATATTTTAAAAAATGGTAAAGGTAAATTAAAAATGGAACGAAAATATTTCATTAATAATATTATACATCATCAAATTAAAGTGGAACAGAAATTAAGTAAAAATATCAATGCATCTATATTTTTCTCCCAAAAGGTTGAATCCCCAACCCTAAGGGCCCCCCACCCCGGCCCGACAGAGTATTTGGGAGGAACTACATCTATATTCTAATTGACTGAAAATAAAAATGAATAATTGAATGAAAATGAATCTAACATTACTAATTGACTGAAAATATAAAAGGAATGAATATTAACAATTGATTGCAAATAAAAATGATCCATAATTGACTAAAATAAAAAAAGAAATTGTTAGATCATTTCATTTTAACTAAAAATGGAATGGAAATTAAAAATTGGAGGAAAATATTTCAATAATAATATTCTACATTATCAATAGTAAATGCATATTTTAAACAATAGTAAAGGTAAATTAAAAATGAAACGGAAATATTTCATTAATAATATTCTACATCATCAAATTAAAGTGGAACAGAAATTAAGTAAAAATATCACTGCATCTATATTTTTCTCCCAAAAGGTTGAATCCCCAACCCTAAGGGCCCCCCACCCCGGCCCGACAGAGTACTTGGGAGGAACTACATCTATATTCTAATTGACTGAAAATAAAAATGAATAATTGATTGAAAATGAATCTAACATTACTAATTGACTGAAAATATAAAAGGAAATGAATATTAACAATTGATTGCAAATAAAAATGATCCATAATTGACTAAAATAAAAAAAGAAATTGTTAGATCATTTCATTTTAATTAAAAATGGAATGGAAATTAAAAATTGGAGGAAAATATTTCAATAATAATATTCTACATTATCAATAGTAAATGCATATTTTAAACAATAGTAAAGGTAAATTAAAAATGAAACGGAAATATTTCATTAACAATATTCTACATCATCAAATTAAAGTGGAACATAAATTAAGTAAAAATATCACTGCATCTATATTTTTCTCCCAAAAGGTTGAATCCCCAACCCTAAGGGCCCCCCACCCCGGCCTGACAGAGTATTTGGGAGGAACTACATCTATATTCTAATTGACTGAAAATAAAAATGAATAATTGATTGAAAATGAATCTAACATTACTAATTGACTGAAAATATAAAAGGAAATGAATATTAACAATTGATTGCAAATAAAAATGATCCATAATTGACTAAAATAAAAAAAGAAATTGTTAGATCATTTCATTTTAACTAAAAATGGAATGGAAATTAAAAATTGGAGGAAAATATTTCAATAATAATATTCTACATTATCAATAGTAAATGCATATTTTAAACAATAGTAAAGGTAAATTAAAAATGAAACGGAAATATTTCATTAATAATATTCTACATCATCAAATTAAAGTGGAACAGAAATTAAGTAAAAATATCACTGCATCTATATTTTTCTCACAAAAGGTTGAATCCCCAACCCTAAGGGCCCCCACCCCGGCCCGACAGAGTACTTGGGAGGAACTACATCTATATTCTAATTGACTGAAAATAAAAATGAATAATTGATTGAAAATGAATCTAACATTACTAATTGACTGAAAATATAAAAGGAAATGAATATTAACAATTGATTGCAAATAAAAATGATCCATAATTGACTAAAATAAAAAAAGAAATTGTTAGATCATTTCATTTTAATTAAAAATGGAATGGAAATTAAAAATTGGAGGAAAATATTTCAATAATAATATTCTACATTATCAATAGTAAATGCATATTTTAAACAATAGTAAAGGTAAATTAAAAATGAAACGGAAATATTTCATTAACAATATTCTACATCATCAAATTAAAGTGGAACAGAAATTAAGTAAAAATATCACTGCATCTATATTTTTCTCCCAAAAGGTTGAACCCCCAACCCTAAGGGCCCCCCACCCCGGCCCGACAGAGTACTTGGGAGGAACTACATCTATATATTTTAATTGACTGAAAATAAAAATGAATAATTGATTGAAAATGAATCTAACATTACTAATTGACTGAAAATATAAAAGGAAATGAATATTAACAATTGATTGCAAATAAAAATGATCCATAATGGACTAAAATAAAAAAAAAAGAAATTGTTAGATCATTTCATTTTAATTAAAAATGGAATGGAAATTAAAAATTGGAGGAAAATATTTCAATAATAATATTCAACATTATCAATAGTAAATGCATATTTTAAACAACAGTAAAGGTAAATTAAAAATGAAACGGAAATATTTCAATAATAATATCTACATCATCAAATAAAAATGGAACGAAAATTAGGTAAAAATATCATTGCATTTTGATATTCTAATTGACTAATTGATCGAAAAAAAATAATTGGCTAAAAATGAATATGATATTACTAATTGACTGAAAATATAAAAGGATAACTAATTGAGTGATATTCTACCATTATATATTTTCATCCAAGTAACCGGTCTTGATGGATTGAAGGTGTTAGCTCTAGACAACGATGGACAAGATTGTGTTGCCACTACCAATGTCGTCTACAAAGAGGTTTCAATAATGTGTAAATATAATCAGTGATATTAAGTTTTTTTTTAAATGAAAAAAATTGCTATATATCTAGACAAAAAAAATATATCTTCCATACAAATGAATAAAGATATCAATTCATTTCTATAACTGAGTTGTTAGAAAACGAGCACATTTGCCTAATTTATAAAAATACTAAACAATGATAAATAAAATCTTCAAAGTTATAGCACCGCATCTGTACATCTAGATATTAACTATTAATTTGAGCAATTATTTGCACAAATTCAAGCAGTGATAACATCAAAATATATAAACGATCCAAATCATATCTTTAATTGTACTATATAATATTTGATGTTCTAATTTAAACAATTATATATTGATTCATATATTCTTAACTAGTCTTTTCTATGCGCGATGCGCAAAAATATATGCCAAATATTAATATTTTTAAAAATAACTAACAAATTCCTACTAAGTAAAATGTACATGAAATCAAATATATTTATTATAATAATCCAATATATAATATCTACAAATATTATTATCATTAAAGAATATAAGAAAATATATTGTGGATGCATGTGCATGGTAACAATAATGGAAAAGATAACTGAAGTTATAACGGTAGGGGTATTTTTGTCCAAAAAATTATATAGTACAACTCTAAAAGCACAATGTACAAAATGGTTAGCATAAAAAACATGGACATAAATGAGGGATATAACTTTGATTGAGACTTATTATGTTTTTAGATATATTACAACAAATCTATTCCGTGCATAGCACAGGTGCAAATACTAGTTCATATAAAGGCATAATCAAAAAAAATTATTAGACGGAACTTTTTATCACCATAATTAAAGAAATTAGCACAATCATGGCAATTTTCTAAAACATACTGCAAATACCAGGAAGCAATACAATCCTAACCAATTTGAAAAACTACACCCTTTAATTAAGGACAAGAAACGGCAAGGACGGGATTTCCGGAATAATGGCTCCAAAATAAACAATAATAATGGTAATCAATTGACGTACCAATTCTATGAGGGAGTGCGGAAAAGCGTAATATTGAAGATCATTAATGGAGTAGTAATAGCGCAACGTCTGTATCGCCTTCCTTCAGAGCTTCTCAACCCGTCTGCTGCCCGCTGGAAACGATGGCAAAAGACTAGTAGCTAACCAGACTTCATGCAGACGCCGGTGGACAGCCACTCCAACGAAGACATATCGGCAACCCTCAATGACGATGCTTATGGACAACGAAATCGTAAACCCTTCTTCCCAAACAATGGCTCGGCGGTGCTGCATTACAGTAAGCGAACAACAAAATCACCACTCCATCGGTGCTACGGCTCAGGATGCCAATCGGGACGACCAACGGCACCACCACCGATATTCGTCAAACGGAAATGGCTAGGGGAATGTTTGCAGCACTGAACAACACAAAAACAGTCCCCATCGCCTGCCATTCACACCACTAGACACCCATCATAATTGGCGGTAGTGCTGACATGCTTTGCCGGAAAAAATATACGGTAACACCTCGACCAGGCAAAACCAAATAAAAAAAATTCCCACAAGAACGAAATCTTAATTGACACAAAACCAGCGGGTAGCGGCCCTTCGACTCCGTCAGCCAGCCAACCACCGAAACGAAGAGCCTTTGGGGATGGAGACCTTTATGCCACTAGGAACACAGAGGATCTGTATGTTCTCGGATCTGCGACGCAGCGCCAGGACATGAACGGCGACCGTTCTCGCCACTGCTTCTAGTCGGAAAATGCAACGCCGACGACGAACCTTATGGTAATGATTTCATCATCACCATAGTTGTCATTTCTCCGACTCCCAATAGCAGTTATCGGAGAAATGGGAGAAATGGGAGAAAAGGGTGAACTGGCGACCGTCCGAAACTCATACGCAGTCGTCGGTGAGTGGCTGGAAATGAAGACAGAAAGTTAGGAAAATAAATTCTCCGGGGAAAACATGCAGCAGGTTGGATTTTTACTTTTTTTAAAAATATATATACAAAATAATTTGTGTAAATCATAAATATCATACTGATATTCATACTGCAAACATATTCTCCAGGAAAAAAAACAGCAATAAAACTTATATTGCATAATATATAATTCAAAATATATATCACATGCAAATTTATCAACTAGGCAGAAATTAAACAGGCTTTGATACCAAATGTTATAAATATACAAAACAATACAGGTAATCTAACCTTATATCGGAAGCATATGATCGAGCATCTCCAGCCATAGTTGTAATCTCCGTTGCATTGTCTGAAGAACACTTTAGAATTTTGTCTACCACTTAATCTCCTGTACAACTAGATGGTGTAGTGTCTCAAGTCACAAGATCAGTGGGAGGACCATACATATATATATAACCTACGTGCCATCATTATAGGTTAAGTAACGGAAACCGTTACTTCTGTTTCAAACCACAACATTATGGCCACAAATGACCTATTAACTTGCACTACTTAATGGTGACATAATGGAAAAGTTACAGAAGAAGCTTCAAAGGTATAACCCCATGGACTCCCACTTTGAATTTTGGCTCGGTGAAGCCTTGTTTATTAGGTAGAAATGAGTAGAAATGTTAGATTTTGATGTGTTTGAGCTAGGAAGTGATCTATTACTTGTCTATGATGTGTTGATAATGTTTTGGATGAGTCGGAGTTGGCTGAGATTGAATTGCAGATGAAGAGAGTTCATCTGGTGTACAGACAACGTGCACCAGATGAAGTAACGGCCATAGCCAACGGCCCATCAAGAGGGCCGTTGGCTAGAGCCGTGGCCGGCCGGGCCTAGGGCGTGACGCTAGGAGAGGGCCATTGCCTAGGCCCGGCAATGTTGCGGCCTGAGGGGGCGGGTTATGCATAGCCCCGCCCCATAGTCCCTGAGTGATCTCTGTGCAGTGGTCGGGCCCTTGTGGCTCACCTACGTGTCGTTTCGGGCCAGGTGTCATGGGCCCTTTGTAAAGATTATAAACTGTGCTTCATTGATGTAAAATAATGAGCTATAAATAGTGTACAAGAGAGGGAGAATAGTAGGAGGTTGTAACAACTTGTTCAACACACCTATTCTACAGGAACATAACTATAACAAATATAAATAGATAAAATGTCAGCCACACATATCCTTAACACGCCCCCGCAAGATTGAGGATCCGTCGGAGACTCCAATCTTGGAACGGAATAGAAGAAACAAAGAGCGGCCCAACGAATTTGTGAGGAAGTCAGCTAGCTGAGCTGACGAAGGAATGTGCCGCACTACCAGTGAACCATTAGAGACTAATTCACGAACAAAGAAGTAGTCCAGCACTAGATGCTTCATACGTGAATGGAAAACCGAATTTCTGCACACATATGTCGCACTAAGGTTGTCACATAACATAACTGGTTGTTTCACTAGTTGCACCTGCATCTCATGAAGCAAATTCTTTATCCACAAGACCTCTACAGCAGCATTCGCCAAGGCTAGATATTTAGATTCCGTCGACGAGCGTGACACGGACTTCTGGCGGGTGGACTTCCAAGAAACGAGATTATCACCAAGATACAACAAGTATGCGGTGGTGGAATGGCCATCGGTAGTGCAACCGCCCCAATCAACATCTGTATAAACACTCAGTGACAGTGGTTGCCCAGTGCGGAAAAACAACCCATGACAAACCGTTCCTTTTAGATAACGTAGCAACCGTTTGGCTGCCTGCCAGTGCAGCTCTGTCGGTGAATGCATGAACTGCGAGAGACGGTTAACTGCATAATATACATCAGGCCTAGTGATGACCAAGTACTGCAACGCACCAAGGAGACGCCAAAATTGACTGACATCCACCGCAACACTACCAGACTGCGCAGGTAGCAACTTGCCCATAGTAGCCAATGGTGTCGAAACAGACTTTGCACCATCCATCTTAAATCAAACCAGAAGATCTGTGATATATTAACTCTGAGACAGGAACATGCCATTAAGAGTCGAGACTACTTCAATGCCCAAGAAATGATGCAAAAGACCCAGGTCCTTAAGAGCAAACTGAGCTGACAGAGTTCCAACAAACTTGTCAAGCCACGCAACATTGTTTTCTATTAGGATAATATCATCAACATACACCAGGAAATAAACAATAATATCATTAGTAGAATAAACAAACAAAGACGCATCTGCCTGTGACTTCAAAAACCCACAACGCAACAAGAATTGGGAAAGTTCTAAGTGCCAAGCCCTGGAGCATGTTTAAGACCATATAATGCTTTGATCAATTTGCATACATGAGTTGGAAATGACGGATCAACAAACTTGGGAGGCTGCTCCATAAACACCTCCTCGTGCAATGTTCCATTAAGGAACGCATTATCGATATCTAGCTGGCGCAAACCCCAGCGATTACTCAAAGCAATGGTTAGAACAATACAGATCGTGACCGGTTCATAACCGGACTATATGTCTCAAAATAATCCCGTCCAACAGTCTGCAAGAACCCCTTAGCGACAAGCCGCGCTTTAAAACGATCAACCGACCCATCCGATTTGCGCTTAACACGGAAGACCCATTTGCAGCCAATCGGAACGACCGCGCCACGGGGAACCAGTTGCCACGTGTTGTTACATTGCAGTGCTTCGAACTCCTCATCCATTGCTTTCCTCCACCGAGCATCATTAAGAGCCTGGGCGACGGTAAAAAGTTCTAAAGCAGGAGGCAAGGGATGGGGAGTGGCTTGATTAATGACATAATCGGAATATCTTGTATTAGGACGACGCTCCTGGGTGGAACGACGAACATTATGCAACGGTTGAGACGTGTCGGAGGTGGAGATAGTTTGTGAGTCAGACACAGATTGGGCTACATGTTGACCATTTTTTGAGACAGTGGGAGACGATGAATTGGACGCAGCTGACGGTGATGGTGTTAGAACTGGAGTTGGAACTGGACTCTGAACTGGAGTTGGAGCTGGTGTTGGAACGGGTGTTCGAACTGGTGTTGGAACTGGAGTTGGAACCGGTGTTGGGACTGGTGTTGGAAAACCCACGGGCTCTACCTGTGTAGACAAAGGAGACGACTTGCACAAAATATTGCGTGATTCTGAATCATGAGAATCAGAAGGTAAGCTGTTAGATGACTTTTGCAAATCGTTATAAGGAAACACATGGAGCACAAATCTCACATGCCTAGATACATAAATACGATTCGAAACAAAATCTAGACACTTATAACCGGATTGGCTGTTCGACTAGCCAAGGAAAATACATGGACGTGACTTTGGTTGTAGTTTCTTGGTGTTATAGGGACGCAACCAGGGAAAACATAGGCAACCAAAGGGTTGTAACTTGGCATAATTAGGCAATTGTTGAAACAAGACATAAAACGGGGGTTGGTTACCTAAAGTCGGAGTAGGGAACCGATTAATAAGATATACGGCTGTCTGAAAGGCATAGATCCAGTATGAGGACGGCAAAGACGCGGAGTGAAGAAGAGACATGCCAGTTTCCACGACATGCCTGTGCCGTCGCTCGGCGACACCATTGAGCTCAGGAGTGTGTGGCGGGGTGGTGAAATGAGAGATACCGTGAGTATTAAAAAACATCCCAAGTCTCATGAACTCGCCCCCATTATCTGAGTAAACAGAAACAATTGACAGGCTAAAATATTTTTCCACTAGCTGTTTGAACTGAATGAATATTGGAAACCCACATCCGATTTACGTTTCATGGGATACAGCCAAATGTACTTTGAGAAGTGGTCTACAAAAATGACATAATAACGAAATTCATCAATAGAGTACTCAGTAGGTCCCCACACATCAATATAAACAAGTTGCAAAGGTTTAGTGCTAACAAGTGTATTTTTAGAAAAAGGCAGTTTATGGCTTTTATAAACATTGCAGGAGGAACAATAAAAATTTCGCAGAGATGACATGGAGAATGGAACATTACAGTGTTGCAACACAAGTTGCAACACCTTATTCGACGGGTGGCCAAGTTGTTGATACCACTAAGACAAACGAGCCAACTGAGTAGCATGAACTATTGGGTGAGAGACAACTGGTCCAAAATAGACACCATTAATGTTCGCCCCCCGTAGAAGCGGAATCCCCGTTCGAAGTTCCTTGACCAAAAAATGAGAATCAAAGAATTCAACAGACACACGATTAGTCTTGCATAACTGGGAAACAGAAACTAAATTAGCGTGTAACTGTGGGACATGCAAGACATTATCTAGAGTGAGAACATTAGAAGGAGTGGGAATGACAGACTGGCTAATGTGGGATATTTGTAAGGAATTACCGTCACCTAGGCGTAGTTCATCCGATCCACTGTACTCGGTGAAAGTCTACAGAGGAGCGAGGCTTGGTGTCACATGGTGCCATACCCCACTATCAAACATCCAGGGAGGAGACGCCCCAGTCACAGCATTAGCTGTAGGAGACATATACGGTTGCATAGGGACAACATTATGCTCTTTAAGAAATCTGACTAGCTTGCGACATACCTTGGTTTCGTGACCTGTAAGATGACAAAACTTACAAATAATACTAGAGCGATTGTTACCCCCTTGTTGCCAATTTTGTCGGTGGGCGCTGTTATTATAGGCATTATTACGGGCCCTCCGGTTGGAAACTGACTGCTGGTTAGACCATGGGGGTGGCGAAGCACGGTGAGTCATATTGGCAGTAACCAGTACCGATTGCCGCGTCTCATCCGTTGCCTTTAGCTGACGTTCATGGTCAGTCAGCATGCCCGCCAATTCACTAAAGGAAATTGGCTTTTCACGAACACGGACGGCAGATATAATAGAGTTGTACTCCTCCCCTAACTGAGTTAATATATAAACAATTAGATCCTCATCCAAAACTGGACACTAAGCCAGCGCAAGATCATCAGCTAAGGCTCGCATGTCATTGAGGTAAGACGTAATGGACCGAGACCGTCTCGAATTTTTCGTGAGCTTGACCATGAGGGATATGATACGTCTTCGAGAGGCACTGGCGTAACTAGCAATCAAACGTTGCCACGCATCGTGGGCTGTCGTAGCCGAGGAGATGAGGGGTTGTATGGTGTCAGTACAACTACCGAGAAGTGCACTAACAATGATTTGGTCTTGACGATACCAAATTAGATGGGTTGGGTTAACGGCAGTTTGAGCAGTATCAGTGAATTTGGCGGGTTCCGTGGTGGTACCGTTGATGTAACCCAGAAGATTAAACCCAATAAGTGTGGAGTGGACTTGACATCTCCACACTGGGAAATTCGTGGTATTGAGTTTAATGGGAAAGTTTGTTTGGGGCATTTAGTTGGATTATATCGTTTGTGGCTGTAGTAGTGGAAGCCATGTGGGTAGGGGAAAAAAAAAACTTCGTAGGAGATTCAATGCTTTTGATACCATGTAAAGATTATAAACTGTGCTTCATTGATGTAAAATAATGAGCTATAAATAGTATACAAGAGAGGGAGAATAGTAGGAGGCTGTAACAACTTGTTCAACACACCTATTCTACAGGAACATAACTATACAAATATAAAGAGATAAAATGTCAGACACACATATCCTTAACACCCTTGTGGCTCGGTACCTCGGGGCCGTCTTGACGCACGTTTTGGTTTGTATTTTGTTGAATTTGGATTAGAAACGACCATGTTATGGTGGATTTTTGAGATGAAAATGCCTCACAGTGGTATAATTTGTGTTCACTGCCATTGAGTATTGTTGTATAATATCTTCCTGATGCTATTTATGAAATGAATAGAGAAGCATGATCACTTTGTGAATAAGAATTATTAGAAAAGCATGAGTAGAATGTGTTGTATGTTCAATGAAATTTAAAGTCTATTTTGATGGTAGAAATATATAGAGTTTGATATATTGCAAACCAAGCATGATATTGTGTCCTTGAGAGTTCTATGTGATTTATATATGGAGTTGAAGCATGTTGTATAGTATTTTGCATTTTGAGTATATCATGTTTTTAAAAGTGCATAAGTGGCCAACGTGAGCCTAAGTATTATTTTAAAAAATTCATGAGCATGTGGTATATCATTGTCTTGATGCATTGAGAAGTTGTTGAGATGTAGCATGCAAGAGATTGGTACATGAGAGATATATTTATATATTATCTATATCAGTGAGGTTTTGGAAGACCCCGTTTGGACTATGTCCTCTCGGATGATTATTATGGACAGTGCGGTCCAGTATATGTAACGCGGTGTATTTCCATGTTACGAGGTTGGAAACTGCCCGCCAAGCTTGGAATCCTGGTCAGGGGGTGTGCACGCTGATAGTTCGATACCAGATTCCACAGAGTTTGAGCATAGAACCAAGAGAGTGGTTCGGTGGACGAGCAGAGTATTAGGTCGGCTAGACGCCGTGCCCGGATAGGTTCATTCACACTATGGTGAAGTTCCTACCTCGTCCATTTATAAAGAAAGTGAGTCATTGCAACTCTAAGAAGAGAAAGAAAGAAGTGAGTCATTGCGACTCTAAGAAAAGAAAGAAAGAAAGCAAGTCATTATGACTCAAAGAGACCTCCACAGAAAAGTATTCTATTTTTACAAACGAGTGTATGAGTATATGTATAGTATTGCACGAGAATGCATTTGAGTATAGTATTGCACGAGATTGCATTTGAGTATAGAATTGCACGAGATTGCATTTGAGTATAGTATTGCATGAGATTGCATAATGAGAATGATTAGCGGTGTTTGTTTATGAGTATGATTGCTTAGTTGCATTTTGAAGTCTTATATATCCAGTTTGCATGATGAGAACTTGAAAGCATGAAGATAGTTTTCGTATTGATTAATAGTATGAAATTGCTTGTAAGCATGAGTTCGTTATGATGAGTTTGTTGTGATATTTATGTGTTGGATTATTTATGTTGTTGAGTCATTTGTATTGAAGCATGCCTGTTGATATTATAG